ATGATATGTATGTTAATCCCCCCCTTAGAACAAAAGCATATTCTCATACAAAAATTACAAGATAAATTACATGCACACAAAAGATATTCAACAAAATTATTAAAAGTAATTATATTATGAGTGTGCCAAAAAACTAAATTTTTATAATATTAAGCTTAATCTTTTGAATTATAATATGTTTAAAGTTTAATTTATATTATCATCTTGTAAATCAACCAACTAGCTAGCCTAAAACTCTATTAAATTTAACTAATGAGTCATTTATGTAATAGAAATTGAGCTGTCTCACTAACATAATTACATGTCAAATTAATAATTTGGTTTACATTCCACTCCATACAAAAAGAATTTTCTTTCCATATGTCTTGATCAAGCTGCCAGCCAATCATTAGTTGGGACCATGCACTGGCAATATGGAGGTAATTTACATTGTCATGGCTTTCAAAAAATAAAAATAAATGCCACATTATTGAATTTAAAATTGTTGGAGATTTTTTTTTTTATTTTATTAAAAAAATATTCAAATAAAAATAAAAATTAAATTGAGAGATTAAACTAAATTTGTATGATAAATTTTTTATCTATTATTATTATTATTATTATTATTTTGCATTTTTCTCCTTAAATTTAGAGTTTTTTTGCTATAGGCTATATGTGATTGGAACTGATAAGAAAGGAGAGAGAGCATGAGCTTCTGCATTGGCGAAAAACAGGACAAATTTTTCTGTCTGGAATCCGGACGTGCGGACGATGGACGCGATGCAGCGGAGGATGAGACTTCCGTTGTATCGCTGCATCACGTCCGTTGTCCGTGCGTCCTGACTCCGAACAGAAAAATCGCTCGAAGGACAGTGGGGACATGAAATGAATTTATGAATTCTTCAATTTTATTTTAATCGAAAAAATTAAAATAAAATTCAATTTTGACAGTTTAAATAATTGTAATCTTAGCTTAATTTTATTTATAATTAAGAAAATGGGCTAGTTAAACATTATGGCCCTATGGGCTTTAAATGAGTAGTTGGGTTGGATTTTGGTTTAGCATCATACTTTTTTCACAATGAGGTTATTTAGAGTCCTTTTTTTTTATATATTTTTAATCTATTTATGCTTTGATTTATTATTATTATTATTATTATTATTATTATTATTATTATTATTATTATTATTATTATTATTATTATTATTATTATTATTATTATTATTATTATTATTATTTGTGAACGTGAGGGCCAAGGCTATTTATGCCTTGATTTGAAATATAATTTATTTATATAATTAAACTATATTTTATATTTATTACATATTAAATACTAAAATATATTTGACTAGCTACAATATCCGGCGGAGTCAAGGGTGAACGACACGGTTGCTTGTGTGCTACCATTGCTAATTTGTAATTGTTTATAAAAATATACAAAACATCTAAAGTTTATTTTAAGATTTTTAAGAAAATATGTTGATTTATTTAAAAAAAAAGAATAAAATATGTGATAAGTACACTAAACAAATAAGTTTAAAAAAAAATAAAAATAAAAATAAAAATCCCAAATATCTCATTTGCTATTGGGGCATTTATTATTCCTTAAAATATAATGAATTAGGTAGTGAAATACTTATTTGCGTGAACATGTACGTAAATGATATTGTTGAACGGGCTTAACTTTGTCTTCCATTTGAGGCTTTTTGTATTTTTCTTTTCTCCATCACTTTCTTTCCTACATCTATTTTATCAAAACTTGGTATCTTACCTAGTCATGAGATTCTAAAGTAGAAGTGAGGATGACAAATGAGGGTGAAATAATAAGCATCAATGGGTATGAAGAAAACAACTTTCAATATTAGAAGATAAAGATAGAAACTAGAAGTATACCATAAAGATAAAGCCATCATCAATGATCCATGAAAAAATAGGGCTCTTAAGATATTAGTAATAAGAGTTTTGTAACTATGACTTAGCAAGGGTGATGCTTTTATCATGAAATACTAATAGATAAAGCTTCAATTTCTCTAAATAAAATACAAGCATTCAAGATTCTCACTCACACACACATCTCCTCACATGATAGATTTTCTCAAATACTTACCCAAACTTTGGAGCCTTCTTTTGGTACTCTTTTCAAACCTTAAGCTCACCGCAATGTTGCCTTGAATCACGATGTCATATATTCAAATTGAAGCCAAATTTAAATCTTTTTTGAACAATGCCATAAGCCAATTTTGAACCAATTTTGAAACTTATTTTGTGGCATCTTAGAGCCCTTCATTCTAACCCAATTTGGCTCCTCATAGAGCCAATCCTTTGTTGATTCGTTTTCAACCTTACCAAGCTACACTATTGATAGCTCAATCCAATCCCCATGTGAGCCCACATAAGCAACTCTAGAAGCTTCACTTGGTTGAGCCAATCATTTCCATAACCTTTTCCCACATGCCTTGCTTTTCATTGACACATAACCTTAACTGATCCCATAACCAACCCAACATCAAGAAGGAGTGGGCACATGTGCTAGTCCATTGAGATGGCTCCTAATGCAAAGTTAACCATGACCTGAAATCCACACGACTCATCTTCATTGGAGCCTCTATCCACTTGATACACCCTCACTGGTTTCTTGAAGGTGACTAGATACCACCTCACTAATCCATGGCAAATTGATTGCACTAATAAAAAATGTTATCCCTATCCCTAACCAAGCCTTTAAATGGAGCTCATTTTTGGCTCAATGAAAAAAAAAATTAACTCAACCACTAGCGAAGCCTTACTAATTTCACCTCAAATCAATCCCTCAGAGCTCAACCATTCTTCCCACACCAATTCCATTACCCCAAGCCCTAATTCTGCCTTTAATTGAGCTTGTCCAAACCAGGACATACTCGATTGCCACTGTCCATAGCTTGATCCTCAATTCCAACACTTGCATTACCTTCCATGAATATTTTAACCACTTCCCTATTCAATTGTTTAAATCCCCGGGGCATCGGAAAAATATGAAATAAATTTTGCTATACTCATTAAGTCCAGAATAATTTAATAAAAAATAATAACAAAATGTAATATCAATAAATAAATTAAAATAAATTTTACATTATTAAATAAACAATACTTCATAAATTTCATAATATATATAAAAAAAAATGGAAACTATGTTTGATTGAACCTCTTGTCCATATGATATTTCTCTAATTTTCTCATAAACAAGAATAAAGTTTTAATATCTTAATTGAATTTTTTTGTTATTTTCCATTTATTGAAATAAATAATTCTAGAAATTGAAATATATTTTGGAAAATTATTAAATAAATTTTGAAATATTAATTGTCTTATGGGTGGTCATTTTATTCAATTAGACAGTAACTTTGAGTTATGATGGTTAATTCACTTTTCTTAAGATGGTTACTTTTGTAATTATTATATTTATACTTTAAACTTCTTTTAATTAAAATTGGATTATAAAAATATGGAATTAATAAAATATGTAAGAGGTTATAAATGCAATTTCCAAATTTATTGAGAATTTGAAATTTCAAAGTGTTTGGATGAGTATTGGTGGGTATTATTGTTTGGAATTATTTAATTTACTGATTAAAACCTCCAACCATAATTGAATGAATTTACATTATAATGCACATGAAATGTAATAAGATTGATAAAATTGCAAAAATATACCTAAGTTTTAGGGGTGTAAACGAGCCGAACACGAGCTCGTGAGCCATGCTCAGCTCGTGTTCGACTAGTTAATATTTCGACCTCAAAAAGTGTGTTTGTGTTCGGCTCGTTTGCTTAACGAACCGAACACGAGCTATTCACGAACAAAGAGTCCTTTTAACAACCCTAATCATGTAGTCATAAAACAATAAGAGTTTGAGCAAGATTTAAAAAATTATTATTTATATTAAAACATCATTTGAATCTATTTTAATAATTTTTATTCAATTTTATTAATCAATATTTTAATTGGTTATAAATCTTTGCAGCCTTGCAGTCAATTAGATTTTCTTAAAATACTACTTAATATATAAACTTGATGAGTAGTATTTCGAGCCAAAACGAGCCGAACACGAACGAACACATCTTAGTTCGTGCTTGGCTTGTTAACGTATCGAACGAAATTAACGAGTCAAACACGAGCTTCTTAACGAGTCGAACACGAGTTGTTCGCGA